TATATCTACAAATCTAATAGTAAAAACAATATTTTCTTATGTCCTAAATAATAATAGCTGTTTGACTAAGCCGGAACAAATACTACCTCCAAATAAACCTTAATCATAATATCGCCTGAGTGGCGCCTCGCTGAGTTAATGATAATATGTGACAAGTGAAAATGCATACAAGTACCACTGCAAGATTTTTAGGCCAACCTTGCACTCTGAAATCAGGCGTGACCAAAGATGAGCAAATGAAGATAAAACTTTTATAGCATAAGATATTGGTTTTAAATTGTGTAAGTATTACCTAGTGCATCTAATGGCCTTAGTATGAGGGATACTAAGACCCCAAGGTGCGTTATAACGTGCCTGTAAGAAAACTAAAGTTTAAATCATTAATATTAGCAGAGATATCCAGAAAGCTTACTAACTTCAAGATTTCCATTTGATTCTGTTTGGCAAAATCGGCATTGAAATTGGGCTTTGACCTTATTTGACGTCATTATGAAGTGATTAGTGATTACAATACTAGACTATAATAGATAATTAGTTAATCGGCTCTTTATAATGAACCCTGATGGCATCATCTATTTATTTGTATATCACAATAATGATAACTTTTAAGTTTAAATAAAACCGCATAAATGTATTATTTATGTATGGTATTACGATTCAACATATCTATATAACTATGATGAAATATTTTAAAATGTTCTAATTTATAAGTGCAGTATGTGGCAATATGTTGCAAACGCGAGTTAACAAATAATTAATTAACATAAAGAATGTTAAGAGTTAATCAGTTACCTATAAATACATATACATATTATTTACTTATTAGATTTCCGGTAATCCCACAGCAACATTAATATCTACACAATTACACAATACATAAAAACTAAAAACAATGAGCAATTATATAAAAAAAGACAATAATATTTTTTTAATATGAAACACGTCTAAATTATAAGATGATTATTATAAATGAGAGTTAACAAAAGATACCTGATTTTTTAATGTGATTTTGGGGCATCTTCTTCTCATACGATACATGGTCAACTTACGTAAATTAACGTAAATACAAATTGTATTAGACAGAGAAATTTGAAATAGTTAGTTTTGTATTGTATAAAGAGATTATGATTTTTGTAACGAATTAAGTCAAACTTTTAGATTGAAAAAAATCACTATCATTAGAATTAATAACTAATTAAAATCCTTGATTATCATACAATAGGCCTTACAATAGGCCAGGCAATACAGTTATTTAGAAATATTTAAAAAATGTCCAGCCGTGATAAGCCGGCATAAGCTCCTAGTTAGAAATAAAAGGTAATGTTTATCTATCTATGTGCGGAAACTGAGTCCACCAGCCTTTAAGCTTTTTTTTTAATGTTTGCATTTAATTTTGTATTATTTCTTTTCTATATACTATTCTTTACGTATCGGTTAAAAATACGTTCTCTAACAAAACACTCCACCACCCTTCATCTAAGATAAAACCCGTATTTAACACATTGGACGTTCGCAACTGATATTTATTATAGGATGATGGTACACAACATTTCATTATATGGATGTTACATGGTCGCCCTACTGACTCATTAAACTTTATGAATTTATATAAATTTCATGAGGTCCGCGTTGAAAGGGATCCATCGGGCTTCCCTGACCTTCGGTGAGCGCGGTTTACTCAAGACAAGGCCCTTCACGTCCCAGACATGTTACGGTAAATATACATTATCCATTTTAAAAGATAATTTCGAAAATATATAATAAACGCGTCGCTTATAGTTATAAGTAACATTCATAACAAGTGCAATAATAGGTACAAAATTTTAGTGTTTTCAAATAATTAATTAGTTAAAACACTGGACATAAGCAGGAGGAAACAGATTGTTCGCTCCAGATGTTGCCTTGCTGACCAATGCAGACATGAGCTGCTGCATCTTTTACCGCATTTACCACGGAGAGTGTTCAGACTTCAGAGGAGTTGTTCGTACGATCTCGACATTCGTCGTTCCATAACAGAGCGTTTTCAAGGCAGTTTTTGCCGCACACCACCACTATGTTGAACCAGCTGACCACTGAAGTATTTCCGAACCAATTGTACTTAGGGCCTTCAAGTTCGCCCTGTTCTATAAAACGCTACCGACTGAAGAGAGAGACTTTTTAAAATGCATACATTTTCTACACATTAAACTATTTCTCAATATTCGTTTCCTGAACTATGACGTAAGTGAATATCGATGAACGGGGCAATAAACTGCCATTTTCCGATCATCCACTGACGTCAGAAAATATAACCAGTGTTAACTTTTCTATATAAGCGTTAAATTCGGCATCATTTTTATTTGCCTTCAACAAAAATCCTTATATTTTACTCATTTTAGATAAAACTATAATGAATTGTACATGTAAAGCTTCCTTGAGAAGCGAATTATGTATAAGTAAAAACTGTATAAAATCTGTTAGTCGTTTTTAAGTATATCGCGTTCATACAGACGCGGTAAAGGAATGACTAAGGGCAATACTTTCCCCTGGGTTATGATGGAAATTTTTAAAGAGTTTTATCTAATTTAAAGATAAGACACTCCGGCGAGACGCGTGACGCATGCGCATTATCAGTGATGAATATTTTATCACTTATTTCATAAATAAACCAAATAGGACGTATTTTTAGACGAAGCATACGAATCTGCACTTTCTTATCTGTACTCATTTTTTATTAGTACTATCCTTCACAACGTATGTAGAGATATATATCAGTGGCATATATATAATCTGAGGCCGAGAGCTAAAAAGGTTGTAGAACCTTTTTAGGTAAGGGAAGTCGGTTTCCTCACGATGTTTTCCTTCACCGTTCGAGTGAATGTTAAAGCGTACATAGAAAGAAAGTCCAAAAAGTTGATTTATTTTTTATGAATTTGCTTTGTCTTATTCTTTAGGTATACTAATAGATTAATATGATTCCACTATAGGAATATTAAAAACCTTGATATGTTGAAATAACGCAATCCTTACAACAATGACCGCCTGAGTGGACACACTCGTTATTAATCTACCGGGCTTTCTTCAAAAGCATTCCTCGGAACATACGAGAACGACAGGGCTCACTGGCGCACCGCACTAGTTTTATTCCATTGCTTCATTCAATTCGAAACAAAATTTACAAGTGTGCGGTTGTCTATGCGTGTGTGCGATTCACTCGTCCACCATAAATGATAAAACTGTGCAACCCCAGCATTGCGTACACTTAGTCTTAATATTTTTCGGAATATTATCATAACACAGAGCACATACTGCTGTTTTCAATGATAATTGTTATGTCATATTTCAATTATTGAACAACTATTGCATGTCATGCAGTCGTATTTTGGGGTTAGGTGACGCACGTGTGACGAGGCTTGTGTGTGTGTCTGGAGGCGGGGCGGCCAGCTGGCAACAGTCAAATGACATGACTATCTCCAATCTATCTCCAATGCGCACGTGACGTAGAACACGCACAACTGCGGCCCATATTCTTAATATGAATTATGCGATTTCTGGAACTGCATCGTGAAGTTTAAAAACGGATCTTTATTTCACGCAGAGGTTGCAGGCATGAGCAATTAGTAAAACAGTTTACTAACTTTAGAACTTTATTTAATTTATACATTATTATTATTCAACTCTTAAATACAGCAGTTTTACTCAAAATCGTAACTTCTTTCTTAACGATATTAAACAGAAGCGCCAAGTAAGAGCAATCAAACCATCAAGGCAATTGATTGAATCAAATGTTGCACGCAAAAGGCTAAACCACAATGACGCGTGCGTCCCGCCTCAGAGTCTGCCTTTCAATTGGAGTACCATAACATAACTAACATTATTTATTTACGATTATTTACAATTACATAGGTATATAAGTAATGAGCAGGTATAGTAAAGAAATAAAGTAAATTAAAATACGCCTAAGGAACGATACATTCGTTAGTTTATTAATTTAAGGAAATTACCTCGACCCGTAAATTTATCGTTTGAATATTTAATTAAAAAGGTATATACTTGTACCCAATTTTCTAAAACATTTATTGATCTATGTGCTTTAATGTCTTCGTATGCTAACTTTATATTTAATCAAATTAACCAAGCTCACCCAATTAATAGGAAAATACTTGTTCAAGGCTCGAGAACATTCTTTACCCAACTCGGTATTTTAACCAAAAGTTATCATTGCAAGCACCGTTCATACGCGTTAAAAATAGCCGACAGTCATGGACAGTGGCCTTACGCAAAGTTTGACAATGTTATTAACTACGTACATAAAATAGAACTTAGCTATTATCTTTTAAGAACCAATAATATTCATTTTCCACATAAAAGAGCACGTAAGTGTCTAATAAATGTTAATACATAGGAATTAGTTAGTCTAATACTGTAAAATTTACATTTCTAACACATACAAACATTTCAAGTAATATTCAGTTGCAGAGATGGAAATTCGTGTGTGTGTTATAAGGAAAATGCACACATGTATACTACATGAACGCACACAGTGAACCTGCTGTAACACGTTTACACGAGGGGAAAGGGAGGGGGCGGCGACGCTCTACCAAGGTGCTATATAATACTGCGCTGCCATCTGCAAGTTTCAATAGATAACTTGAACTCTGAAGAAATCGGTACGCGCTACCAACATTTCGCTTGTTGGTCCAAATAAATGTTGTGCCCTTACGAACGGCGCGAAATAGAAAACTTTCTTGAATGAATACATTATTTAATACAATTTTAAGTGCATGCTTCAATATCAGGAAGTACAGTTTTAGTTCGAGCTGTGATCGTTTCGCAGTAACCGCATACGACCTTAATATCTTTTAACAGTAGTGATGTGTACAATTTTAAAGTGAAATTCACGAATCTGGATTATAAAGACAAAAAGTTTCGTAAAGTTTCTGTAACTTAAAGTGATCGTCTATAACTTCGGCGTTCCTTAGAGGAAATAGGATTTGCAAGTTCAAGAAACTAAAGACAAGATGAGTTTTAACAAGAACAATCCCAACCCCATGGGAAAAATTATGGGCTACCTAAAACAACTTTCCACCGAAATGGTGAGTACAACTCCAGACTCTTTAAATTAATTTAACCTTGGTGTAAACATTCGGCCAAGGCTGATTTATAACTCTGTTTACTTGAATATTTAAAACGTAACAATACTGTTTGCATTTCGCGAAATTCTTTTCAGAAAGCTCTGGAAAGTTACTCAGTGGAGCCGGTAGCCGGTCGATTGTTTCCCCGTTGCCTGGCAACCATTATCAATAAACAATGCCATGCAGAAAAACACTTGAAAATTAAAACTAATTGCGATACTCATTGAAATATACCCAATAAAGGCAACTCAATTACCGAACATAAAAAATATACTAATAATATTAGTTTAAAAGGTTAATGAAATACATGCATAAATTAAATATTATCTACTTCATGAAAATTCATTATATGATGCATTAAAACACTCTTGGTTTCTGTATAAATAATATGTACCTACCATATAAATGGCCTTGTCGACCAATTCGCGTTCATATCAAATGTAGTAATAAACTATAAAGATTTAAAAATTAGTATAATTACTTATTACTTATTACAAGTAATTATTAAATAACAAATATTTTAAATCTTCTGCAAAAACCGTGACAGTGGCGCTACAGCGTTTCTGAAAACTAAGCAAATCTGTAAACGTTGACAGCCACGAGGTTTAATAGAATTCCAATAGAGGGCATTATTTTCATTGAAATTAAAAGTAACATCAATAACGGCTAGTTTTAATTTGAATATCGCAGATTAGTCAAACGATATGGTACCTACGGTTATGTAATGTTGCACATCACAGAATATGCATAAAAAAATAATTAATAATTGGGGTAGGTATGTATTTAGGAATCGTAAATATAAATATTACAAAAAGAAAATAGTTGTTTGTTTACTTAGGAAGACATGGGTCAGGATATTACTTGTTTTTAATAACACATTAGTCTAGTAACCTTATACTGCTGGTGTAAGGTAACGCGGACCACAGGCTAAGATAGATTATACGTCGTATGATTAAAGGGCACGGCCCTTTTCATACGACGTATGCGTCCAAGAGGAGACCTTTGATAAAAGTCAAGGTTACTACGAAAGTTATAAATAAAATCTCGGAATCTTTACTTTTATTGAACCAGGAACCTCAAATGATTTTAGTGACAAGAATAAAAACAAAACTCATTGATTAGACAAATTCAAATGTTGCGACAATTTAAAAATACATATTCAAAGTTTCTTATAGCCACGTAAATTGATCAATATTGTTAATTTAATAGTTCTAGAAGGATAGTTCTAGAAGGACCATGATATAGTCATTAAAAATGTATATATAATTATCTATATTTACTCGTCTCGCGTACGCATGAGTGTGACTCGTGATCTAAGGGCTGCCTGAGGGATTGGAATAATTAAAATATTATTTACCATAGGGTTTCTTGATAAATAGGATTTTGTCTATTACCTATTGATATATTATCTACTATTCTGCTAAATTGATTTTGACAATTAATGTCAACTTTGTAATCATAATCGCAATCAAAAATACATGCTACAATGCATCTAACATAATAAATGGAATTAAGAAAAGACATTCATTACAATACGTTTCTAAATGAATTCGAGGTACATTTTCATATTATTGAAATAGACAACAAAAGGAATTAACCTTAGTGAAAGATATATGGACCATTTTGGATGGTCCGAAACAAAGACATTGTTTTGGTTAAATATTTTATAAACACCATTATTCTTTGACAGGAATAAATGATAACATCAACAATCATTTGTATCGGAACAGCTAAACGATGTTCATTATTTTTCCGGTCTAGGAGCGCTTATGTTGTGCTTACCTTTATAGGGAACTAGTGATCCTGTTATGTCTAAGTTAAATTGAAATTTTCCGAGAATGGGGTCAGGGTATTCGTTGTTTACCTAAGGTTATCGTCAGCATGCAAAGACCATATGGTCTATAAGCATACTGATGTGACCCCAGAGATGTTAAGTTCAAACCTATTTATCTTGGCTTACGTACATAAGATAGTAAAATGTAATAAATGGGACATGTTTGCGGATATCGATGCCAGTATTTATTGTTTAGCGGACTCGTTTACTAAATATTTGCTAATAAGGGTCGCGTCAATTGGATATTAATTTTTTTAACTCTTTAAAGGGTGGAAGCGAACAGAGCCGGCGAGTTCAAAACGACGAGGAGAGGCTTTACCGGACACGTGGTCCTAAGTACGCCAGGGTCCCATCTAGGCCTACCCTCTCCGCTTCGACGACCTGCACATCTCTCGCCACATCTTGTGGCTCTCAAGGAACTCTTTCCCCTAACTACGCAACTATACCAGAAATCGTATCAACTGAGAGCAGCAGTGAAGACGAACCGGACTCACTTGAAAATACTCGCCGCCATTTTCAACAACTACGCCAAATAAGTTTAGGAAACGAATTCAAATACAAGATGGAAATGGAAATCCAAAGCGCAAAAGAGGATAACCTGCGCAATTCTGTGCCATATGTAAAGCAATTGAGTACGGAAAATAACAAAACGAAAGCTGACTATTCAATAAATGGCGATGGACCGACATTTGGGGCTGCTCCTAAGGCCCTTTATCTTTGGACTCAGGTTAGTTTATTCATGTTCTTATACGTAATAGTTTAGATTACTATCGAAGCTTTTAGAATTCATATATATGCGATAAAAACGCAATTAAACGGGTGCATATTACATGCGCAGTTAACTTCAGCAATTTGTCCAGCATAACATTCATAACTTTCATTGTTTTAATACAATGTATTGGGCAATAAATAAATACAAAAACGCAGTGAGTGAGGAAATTCATAAATAATTTTGAAATCAATAATATAACTACATAGCAAAACAATCGTTACATTTCCTATAGTGACTTGAGTCAAGGTGTGATGCAACTGAACTAGTTTTGTATGCTTAGGGGTGAACCATAAAATACTCGTAAACTTCGAAATAACCTTCCACTATTACTTAGCCAAACATAGAAAAGTGTACAATGCATGCCCATGAAAGCTCAGAACTTTTGTGTCAGCTTTTAGGACCGACGTTTTGCGAAAAACAATTGTAAATAATAAAAATGACTAAGCTTTTTCAGGTTAAAAATACTCTGTCTTGCATACTCAAATGTTAATGTAATTAATATAACATTTGTTTTTTTTATAGGTATTTGCTGCGATTGCCGTTTCCATGGGTTCATTAATCGTCGGGTTTTCATCTGGATATACCTCGCCCGCCCTACCAAGTATGAACGCCACGTTATCTATTACAAATGAAGAGGTAAATGTCAATTAATTTCTACTATTATTATAAATACGCGTTTCATAAATAATATGTAAAAAAATATAAAATTTAAAAACTCAGACAGATGCGACAGGTATAACGGACGTGGAGAGCTAACGGACAAATTGTCACTTTTGAAAATGTAAAATTATCAAATATCTTGCAAAAAAAATCGTTTTTTATCTAAGATCACAATGTCATATTATGATGGATGAAATACTTCTTTTTATTCACTACCCTTTGTCAGGATTGATTATTATGAATGATTATTAATTATTGTTTTCTTTATTACAGAGCAGCTGGGTTGGCGGACTAATGCCCTTGGCAGCATTAATTGGAGGTATTATGGGCGGTCCACTAATAGAATACCTTGGACGGAAGAAAACAATAATTGGTATTGCAATACCATTTTTCCTAGGCTGGATATTAATTGCTACCGCTTTTAATGTATTTATGGTACTTGCGGGTCGTGCATTCTGTGGTATATGCGTCGGCGTCGGAAGCCTTGCTTTTCCCGTATACCTTGGAGAAACGTTACAACCGGAAGTAAGAGGTGCCCTAGGGTTGCTTCCAACAGCCTTAGGAAACACTGGAATCCTTCTAGCCTTCTTTTTTGGAACATATTTGAACTGGTCTCACTTAGCATACCTTGGCGCTGCTCTACCAGTACCATTTTTCCTGCTTATGCTAGCTACACCAGAAACGCCAAGATGGTACTTCACAAAAGGCCGAGCTGAAGACGCACGAAAAGCTTTACAATGGTTAAGAGGACGAAACACAAACATCGATAAGGAATTGACAGCTCTTGCACTCTCTCAAGAAGATTCAAACAGATCTGGCGGAAATGCGTTTGGCCAAATATTTTCAAGGAAGTATATGCGTCCAGTTTTGATAGCCCTAGGTCTTATGTTGTTCCAACAACTTAGTGGTATCAACGCTGTTATATTCTATGCTTCCACAATATTTAAAATGGCTGGCAGTACTCTTGATGAAAATGTATGCAGTATAATTATCGGTGTTGTAAACTTTGTGTCTACATTTATTGCTACAGCCATTATTGACCGCTTAGGAAGAAAAATGCTGTTATATATTTCATCGGTATCAATGATTATAACCTTAGTAACACTCGGAGCTTACTTTTACGTGAGAGCTGTTGGAATTGACCTCATTGCATACGGTTGGTTACCACTAGCTTGTCTCGTGATTTATGTTTTGGGATTCTCAATTGGATTTGGACCTATTCCGTGGTTAATGTTGGGAGAAATTTTGCCATCTAAAATTCGTGGTACGGCCGCTTCACTGGCGACAGGTTTCAACTGGACATGTACTTTCATTGTTACGAAAACATTCCATAATATTATTGTTGTTATAAAAATGTATGGTACATTTTGGTTATTTGCTGCTCTGTGTATAGCTGGGCTATTTTTCGTTATATTTTTCGTACCAGAGACCAGAGGAAAAAGTTTGGAGGAGATTGAGAAGAAATTAACTGGTTCACGGAGAATTCGGATAAGTAGCAACAAACAAACTCAAAACGCATGCTAGTAAAAGATAAGTTGAAGGGATGGTAATACTGAATGATTTTCCTGAGCTGTGTTTTATTTTGTAATAGGGACGAAATCGAGTGGGCATTTGCAGCATACAACATTATGCTTGCGAGCCGCGTTTGAAGACTGATATGGATTGTATTTAGTGTATATTTGTAAATATAGTCGTCTAGATGAATAACTCTCATAGTTCCTTTTGATTTATAAAATTTGGTAATATTCTAAGTAGAGCTTAGATCTAAACAAATAAATTATAGGAAAATAGCCCAGTACATCATGTAACGTACAAATTAACTAAGTTAATTCATAGAATAGTTAAGTCTTAGTGGCCTTATTCACATCATGACAATTAGTTTCGTAACCAAATAATGTATTGTGTTTCAAGTACTATGTACAGCATATTATTATCACATTTTTAGAACGTCCCAAAATCCAAATCTCGCACTCTAGTCTAGAGAACCATCAAACACTGTACAGATCCTAAAAGATACGAGTTTTTGTTAGACTAAGTTTAGTATTTAAAACAGATCACCTGTATGTTAAATTAGTGTTTAGTGTAATCTATGGATTGGTCCATAGAATAGTCTAAAGAATCTTATATCTGACTCCGTATATTACAGAGGCAATATTTATTTGTTATATTTTAATAAAATATTTGGTACTAAATATGCTTTTTCATTTATTTTTTATACATTGAGAGTTTTTTTAAGGAGCTTTGAAGATTGCATTGTGTTTTAAAAACTTTATTCCCAAAATTAGTATTAACGCGAATAAGCGTAGGAGCTTATAAAGTAATTAATATTTTTAAACTACAAATTATCACGCCTGTATCAAAGTCAAAATAACTTTATTCATATAGGTAAACAAGTACACTTATGAACGTCAGAAAAGAAGTTAAATTAATTCTAAATTTACATTTACTAAGAAACTCTCCTACACTCTTTTTAATCGCTAAGTTTTGAGTCATACAAATTGTTTGAACTGAAGCAAGTCAATCCCAAGGATTAGGATCATTTAAATATTCGTCGAATTTATAAAAAGCTTTATTGATTAATTTACGTTTAACTAGAGCTTTGAATTTATTTAGTGATAATTCTCTAATTTCGCTTGGTAGTTTGTTGTCAAAACGAATGCAATTTCCATATAAGGATTGGTTTATCTTCTGGAGCCTGGTTGGACGTACGCTTAAATTATGTTTTGAGTATTATACTGGTAAAAGTCACCATTTGTTTTACAGTCGTTTATATCTTTTTGTACATACAACAAGGCTTCAAGAATATATTGACCAGCTCGTCATAATATTTAATTCCTAAACTTATTCCGTACCGACTCCCTTGGGGAAATACAACAAATACCCTGAATGAACAGCCCGCTTCAGCAGCACAAATATAGATTGAACCTCTGCTCTCTCTATCAATTATCATGCACGAAAACGACACAGGCAAATTATTTGACGCTTTAGATTGAAAATAGTGAAGCTCCTCCGTTGTTGTACACGCAAAAAAAATATTTTAGAAGCAGTTATCACTATTATTATCAAGCTAACTATTGCAATCACGTCGTAATAATTACAATTTATTTTGAAGGCTATTTAAATTTACAATAACTCCGATTTTTACTCTTCTAATACATAATATTTCAAACATACTATTTATTATATTGAAATACCAAAATAAATAAAGTTAATTATTATATATCACTTTTATAAGTAAATCGTAAGGTAACATCACTAGCTCCTTATATTTTTTTATAGCCAAATGGTATGCACATGTATGAATTATGACGTTCTAACAAGTGTTCCACCGCAATCTCGGACGTTTTTGGCAACAGTGGTCGGGAAAATGAACAAATACATTATCTTTACATTTTTTATTATTAATTTATATTTAAATTATTACTAGATTTTATGTCTATTAGATTCATAGATAAAAACCTTAACTATTTTTTTTTAAATTTCATGTAATGAAAATTCTATCATAATTCCTACGATCAATGCTCTTACAGTATATAGAAAGGATTTTTTATCATACTCATAAAATAACAGTACAATGCGAAAATGAATTAGGTATATCTTTTTGTGTATCAGCGAGCGTATAAATATGTAATGCACGTAGTACTTATATGTCTGGATATATATGCTAATATAAAATCTTTTGGTTCGCTAATTATTAACTGAAGATGTCATGTCTAAATGAAAAGGTTTTTTAAAGATTAACTACAACCAGCCAATTCTATAGATTGATAAATTATACTTAAAAATTAAAATGCATAATATAAATAATAAAACATTTTTTAATATTTAACACAATTGAGACAATGAATGTCCTTTTCAAGGTCAGTGTCTTGCAAATGTAATAGAGGACTGTATTACCTAACCATGATTTTAAAAAATACTCGTCAATTTTTTTGCCGTTTATGCAGAGATTTCTGTAAAAGACATACATACAATAGTTGAGCATACTTACAATAGTTATCTATATTATATTATAACATTCGATTTTTGGAGATCTTCTATTAGGGTATATTAAAGCGTATTGCTAAGTATCTCTTCACCTAGTAGAGTCCGCAAACATAACAGTATGGTTAGTAAAAAAAACATTATATTAAATATAAAAAAAAATCAAATAAAACATATGGATGATAAAAATAATTAATTACTAATTATTATAGATGACTAATTAATTAATAGATAATTTAACAGTCAATTTAACTAGGTTTAAACTATAATCTTATTGAAGTATTTATTTAAATAAAATACGCTATGATGGTGTATACGAAAAACACTTGAAATTAACACAGTCCCAGCATTAATTATACAGTTATCCTTAAACAATATTAAATTTATAATTTTCAGTACATTTTGTAAATGGCCAATGAAAACATTGTTTTGATGTTCCAACCTCGGAATCCAATCAGTTTTGTCAATCAATTTGTGTTCATATAAAATACGACGGTCGCCATAAGACAGACTCATTTGTACTTTTGTACATGAAGGTTTCACATCGAGAAAGGGAATTAAAAGTTAATATATTAACGAAGTTAAATACTAAAAATGAAGATTTTAATGAGAGCTGATACACACTGTAGTATCATAGTGGGTGAAAGTGACTATGGCAAACCAAAGTATACATTTTCGCAGGTAGGTATCGAGTTTTTTTCATAGATTATTTTGTTTATTTAAATAAAAAAGTTTGTCCTTTAAAATAATATACAATGCTTGTCCCGTTATTTAAATACAAGTTTATAAAAAATCTGGTTATTAAATTATTAAATATTTATTTATTACCTAAATAGGTACTGAAGTACTTGACATCTTGACGTAATTATTGTTCATTAGTCAAACAGGGAAACCTCATAATAATTATAGTATCATCCCGTTCGTAAACATTTTATTTTGTGGGTGTGTCCGTTTTTAAGAATGATATGTATAAGTAATTCGCCTTTTCTCAAAACTAATAAAATAATTAGTCAATTATTTTATTTTTTAATTATGCTTTAACAAATTGTAATTTTGCCACTTTGCTGGTACCTAATACAAATAGGGTAATAAAAAGGTTTATACATTAAATAATACAATTTGAGAGAGGGAATAGCCATTTTTTTGTTGTTAATAATTTATTGTCTTCGAAACATGAGATATCATATTACCGCATATTACGTGTGCAATACATCTGTGATTTAATATGAGACAAAGTGGACACAATCATTGTCGATTGCTTAAATTGACGATAGGCATTTCGCTTATGCTTTGTAAATTAACATTATTTATCTGGAATGCGAGTCTGTTTCAAACACGTCATGATACTGAAACATTTACATTTTGTTGCTAGTAATAATTATTTAGAAAAATCTAGTGTAAACTTAATTTTAATCGATTATAATTTGAACTTTTGTACGTAAGAAAATGTTTCACCTTCCAGTAACGAGTTCCTTATTTTATTCTTTGCTAAAAGATATCATCATAGATAATAATAATAATAATAAAAGCCCTTTATTCACTGACCTTTAAATTTACATGCTACTCTTATTTAACAGTAGTATCTTAAATCTAATTTACATAGCGAAAATAATAATTTATTAGCAACCAATTTGGTCAGGTTGTCTGTCGACATAGGCCTCCCCCAATTGTTTCTACGTCTCTCTATCCTTGGCAGACCTTCTCCATCCTTTTGGTGGATCTTTTAATTTGACCACCATTCTATGATCTTAGCGTTAAAGTCTAACATGATAATTATGTTCTTCTTCTGCATTATTTCTGTCATGTCTTACGTTAATTTTTCATCTTGTTCTGTGGGTGCATGTACTTGAAAAATGGACCATGGTTGTTTAGATTCTGTTAATTGAATATTGAGTACGGCGATTCTATCCTCTATCCTTGGAAGTTAATTATTTTATTTTTTTACTAGAAATCCCATTCCATATAATATCCCTTTTTGTTTTCCATAAGAATAAAAAATTTATTTCTCGTATTCTCTTATCTCTTCTCCTATTCTTCTTACTTCACGAAGACCTATGACATCCCATTTTATAGGTGTTATAGCTTCAACCAATTCTTGTAATCTGTTGTCCGACATTAACGTTGCAACGTAAGTCTTATTGTAGTTTATATTTTGATATAGGGATGTATTTCTAGTTCTGTATCATCATAGATACAGATTATTGAATTTTATTATATATAATGGTCAAATATTATTATAACGTAACCATTTTTATCACTTTTTAGGTACTGGCTGCAATTGGAGTCTCGTTGGGTTCAATGATAGTTGGTTTCTCTTCAGCTTACACTTCACCAGCACTTGCTACTATGAAAAATTCATCTACTATTTCGGTGTCCGAAGAAGACGTAAGTAGGCTGTTCATAACTTCTATGAGTTGTGTCTCTGTTCTTGAATTGACATTTGCAATAATAAAAAAATATATTTTCAGGCCAGTTGGGTCGGCGCGTTACTACCTTTGACTGCAGCGATCGGGGGCATTATCGGTGGACCTCTGGTAGATTACTTAGGACGTCGTAGAACGCTAATACTGACTGCAATACCGTTTGCTATCGGATGGATTCTGATAGCCTCAGCAAACATTGTCCACTTGGTACTTGTGGGACGAGCAATTTGCGGTTTATGCGTTGGAATTGCATCATTAGCTTTTCCAGTTTATTTGGGTGAAACCATTCACCCAGAAGTAAGAGGTACATTAGGAATATTGCCTACAGCAATCGGAAACATCGGAATCCTCATATGTAACGCAGCGGGTAAATATTTAGACTGGTCAGCACTGGCATATTTGGGGGCTGCTCTCTCTGTTCCATTTCTTATCTTAATGCTACCTTTACCGGAAACGCCGCGTTGGTATTTATCGCAAAGTAAGACAGAAGATGCCCGGAAAGCACTACAATGGCTTCGAGGAAAGCATGCAAACATTGATAACGAAATGCAAGACATAGCTTTATCCGATGCCGAGATCCAAAACCAGTCATCGTTTAGAGATATATTTGATAAAAAATATCTAAAATCGATTTCAATTTGTCTTGGTTTAATGGCTTTTCAGCAATTTTCTGGTATAAATGCTGTCATATTCTATACGGTAGGAATATTTAAAATGGCCGGGAGTGCTGTAGATGAGAATTTATCTGCAATTATTGTAGGTGTCGTTAACTTTGTATCAACGTTCATCGCCACAGGAATCATTGATAGAGCGGGTCGAAAACTATTATTGTACATTTCTTCAGTTACAATGACTGTAACATTAATGATATTAGGTACATTTTTCTATGTGGTTAATTTAGAAACGACAAGTTTAGGTTGGATACCTCTTACATGTATAATGGTTTATTTGCTTGGATTCTCATTAGCTTTTGGGCCAATACCATGGCTTATGATGGGTGAAATTCTTCCTGCTAAAATAAGAGGAGCTGCAGCGTCAATGTGTACTTCATTTAATTATTTATGTTCGTTTATAGTTACAAAAACTTTCTATAACCTCGTAAAAGCGATAGAACCATCGGGTGCATTTTGGTTATTTGGTAGCATTTGTTTTACAGGATTATTTTTTGTGATCATATGTGTGCCTGAGACGCGAGGTAAAAGTCTCGAACAAATAGAAAATAAACTAACACGTAGGCGTAACAGATCACGAAGATTAAGTTCAATAGTAAATATAAAACCACTGCCAAGTGGTTGTTGATAGTTTGTTTGCATTACCGAATATATAAATCATATAAGGAAAATCAATTTATATGCAAAGGCGTTTTTGTGGCTTACAATAAAAATAAATTCAACCTGTTTCTAGTGTAAGCCTATACTAGAATGTTTATTAAACTTAAATCTATTCCAAAAGCTGTCATTGTCTGTATGAAGTTTGTTCTCAAGATTGCATTATGACTTGAGATACATAGTAAAATGAGATAATTGAATGTATTTTTAAAATTTAACAACTTTATAAAAAGGTGTTAAATATTAAGTTCTCATATTGAGTTATTAACGGGACAGTATAGTACCCAAACCCAAAAACAACTAAAATTGTTTAGTGTCAGCAAAGTAATCAAACAGTAATTCATTGTTGAGCAGATGTCACAGTTTGTGTTAATTACAGTTGATCTGTGAAACATGTGCAATACAAAATTGTTTAAGACATAAAGTCTATGATAATGTTTACCTTATAAAATAATATTATATGCATCTGCAGTAAAAATTGTAACATTTTATGTTAACATGGTGATTTTCTCAAATATTTGAGATAAAAATTAGGTTTTAGCACTGAATTAAAAAAAAAAACATGTGTAGGATATTTCTGATAAACAATCAAAATACAATTAACCAACCTCAATATATAAATGTTTAAATTATCAAGTTTCATGTACTGTACCAATAAATTGTTTTGAAGAACCTGCTTTCTAAATATATCTTTATAAGCTTAGAAATAAACCAAAAACATAATATAATATAGGTAATTGTACTTATTTATTACTGTTTTGTAAGATAGTTATAATATAAATATGTAAATAAAACAGAAGTTTAACTATAAAAGGTTATTAAATTTCCAGTTTCCATTTATAATTTTCAGAGTTTAAGTTTACTATTTGACTTCATTTACTGCCAAGTGTGCTTATCATTTCTAGGGCATGATTCTGTAGAAATTAAGAGTTACCCGTGAATCTCGCTTGTTATCCGTGAATTACCAGGAAATCGTAAGCTTAATCAAAAAAAGAGGATGGAGAAATAAAATTTCAAGGGATTGCATGTTATAAAAAATAAAAAGAAAAATCTGTTGTGCTACAACCTTTTTGGTCTGGGCCTCAGATTGCTGTATCTGTTTCATGATCATATGTCAATCTAATAGGCAAGTGGGCAATCAGCCATCTGTGCCTGACACATGTTGTCGCTGCCAACTGACAAGGCAAGCCTGTTACCTTACTGATTTCCTTCACCGTTTGAGCGAATGTTAAATGCGCACATAGAAAGAATGTTCATTTGTACATGTTTAAAACCGTAAAAAAAAGTAATTTTAGTGTTACAACTATGTCTTATAAGACATTAGGTATAAGTGAATGAGCGTGTGTGTAAATGGGTGTGTATGCACATGTATTTGAGAGTGTAGCTGAGAGTTACTATTATTGTGCGCTGTGTCTGTGTTAGTTTATGGAACCAAAGTCATGCCAAAATATGTTGTAAGGCCTATGTAGATTCATAATTTTTATGCGATTTGCGAGTTTGTATTTGGATAGTTTGACTATCTCAGAACTATAAAGTATTTCTGCTTAAACCCGCAAAGTCACTAAAATCATAAGGAAAATTTAATAAAAATCGCTTCTGGCAAATTTTCGATACAGTGATATAAAAGTGAATACAACACATACAAGTGTCCCTAACTTCTCTTTTATGACTGCTAATTACCATTTACTCTGTGTCTACCCGGGATCACATAAGTTTCAGAACTGAGGGCACATAAATACTGGGATTAGTTTTGAGCTGACTCAGGGCTGCTGTTTATAAAGTAACTACTACTACCGTGTATTAAAATAAGGTAAATATTACGATAATATGACTCACCCATAACCTGGACTCTGCATATAGCACAAGTATCACACTCGACATCCCAACTCCACATAGCTACAGCATTCCATTTCTTAAGAGTAAACATCTTATCTGGTTTTTGGCTATCATTGTCACCTTTATCTAGTGCTTCACAATCTTCACCAGACATTTTAAACGTTATTTAAAGTCGACTACTTACTATCGTTAAATCATAGACTTTTATTAACTGAATATAATACTTAACAGTATGTTTCATGCAAATTTCAAACTATTAAAAAACATTTAAGTTATAACATTCCGAAAGTGAAAACATCTGATTTTGACAGATATACAAACCCGTAGCTTGTTGTCAGTTGTCAGTAATCAATTATCAGTCAGCTTAAATAAAATTATTTCACGATTTATGGACTGGTTATCAGTCAACAAGTGTGAGGTATAGATGTAAAATTCAAAATTATTGTTACTTCACTAAATAAAATATTATCGGTGTTTATCAATTTTAAAAATTTTGTTTACACGGAGACAAAAAGGTCGTTATATAGGTATTTCCTATGTACAAATATTTTATCGGTGCCATAGATGGCGTTGATATAATTTGTTCGAATAAATGACATTATATACATAATATGTATTATGTTGATAGATAAAAGGTAATAAAGTATCCATAAATAATAATAATACAATTTTATTAATAAAAAAATCGAAATATACACAACAAACTCACATATTTTTTACGTTATTTTAATAAGATATTTATGTTACAAAATAAAAAGGTGGGATTTCTACTTCAGTACAACATGAATTATTATTCTAGTGTTAGTAGGTAGACCTTGCTGGCAAAAATAAATTTTTGGTACCTATATATTTCCATAATATGTGTATCATGTTAAATAGAAAACACAGCAGCTAATATAATAAAATCTATGTGTAATAATTAAAATAGGAGCTAAGACACATAATTACAATAAATGAATAAAAATACCACAAATAATTAAAATTACACTTAATGCAATAGTTCCCGCGCTACTGAAACATCCAAATTCTTCAATTTGAACTTGATATCTCATATTGTAGGGAAATCTACATGCAGGGTCTGAAAAGGAAAATATGTAAGTAAATGAAAAATCAACTAGAGAAAAAATCGGTATTCCGTGATTGAACTATCTTCATCATTCACTTCTTACAGAAAAACTATTTGTATTGTTATGATACTGTGTATAAAAATTATATAAATATGGAAACAATTAAATTACTCACCAGTACAACTTGGTGACAAACTTGAGCCATCGGGAACCTGTGATTGGACAGAAATAAAGAAAGATGGACAGGAACCAATCGTCCAATGACCTTCGCATGCTCCTTGGAGACTGATTTCTATGTTACCCGACGCAAGAGTTTGACAAATAATCGAATCCTGATCAGCACCTGCAGCCGTCATGTTTTGTCTGAAAAATATTGTTTATAGCGATAACAAAATAAGTTACAAATGCAGATTTTAAATCTCAATAGGATTAACATTAAATAAAAATTAGAATTAAGTTTAAGAATTAAGTACGCCGTCTCGTTTTAATATGCCGACTACTTCTGGCAGGAGTGATAGTTTTTTATAGCTGTACCTTCCAAACGTAATTTTTTTCGATTGAAAGAAAACATACTCAGGACTTTGTAAGGGTGGAGTCGAGACTTAGTGCGAAGTAAAAGTAAGTAGTATTTTAGTTCTTATAGGGTAGAAACCTATTATTTAATTTGTTATTTATATGATGATAGATTATTCGTGATTTATGAGTATATGTGTCCAGTTTGTGTTTCCACCACACCAACTTCTTTCTATTTAAGATCATGTATATAATAAATTTAAAAAAAAAATTCTTTTTATTTTACCTTGGTTGTTCAAATCTTCGTGATTGACAAACAATAAGACTACCAGCACCGGCTCCTGTTCTCGAAATGCGAACTTTTCTGTTGGCATTACCAAAGAAGTAGTTTGGACTTATTGCATAGTAATTTATATAGCCTGGTTCTACGTAATCGTCAAATTGTCTATTACCGGAAGTTAATTCTCCATTAAATGTGGAACCACAGTTCGAGTTAACTATTCTTCTCCCAACTGAAAGTATTAATCGTATAGTAGATATTAAATGATACAAATGATTGTTCAAAGATTTTTCTTGTAAGAGGTATTAAATCAACCTCTCGTAGCCAACGTTTTTATGTCCAGGCCTGAGTTTTCTGTATCTGTATCATTTATTTTTCTCATAGGCAAGTAGGTCAGCAATGTTCTGTGTTCAGCAGAAATAAGATGGATGGAAATAAATACATTATTTCGCGGAATGTACATTTACACGCGGTCTACGACATTTTATAATCACCTGACTTCACTCTCGTAAGTACTGGGTTCATAGTAACTTCAACATTAGTTCCTTCCGCGTTCAAAGACACAACTTTAATGTCATTATGCATATCACGAACCATTTGCCACAGACTGTCGAACTGGTTTGTGGACGTTGCAAATAAAATACGTAGGTCTGAAAAATCAAAGAAATTACCAGATAGCATAAGCAAGTTAAGTGGTTAAATTTACATATCTTTTATAGCTTTTTAATTACGTTCTAGCCATTATACTAGTGGTAATGTCTAGAAAGCAGCATTAAATTTAGTGGGTACTATACATACACAAATCGTATTGAAAAATTTACCTGGAATTGTTTCGTTGATTTTCCGAGCCTCATTAATAATAGGACCAGTTATTTGTAAGTTTGCGGTGTTTAGTAAAAACAGTAAGACAGTTGAATTTCCACCTACATAGTTTAATGACTTTTCATTTTCTAGTTCTCTTTCCATTAACAATCTTATATTTATTAGGGTCGATTCCAAATTTACTCCATTGAATACTGAAACATACATAATATTTATATTCTATTCATAAGAACTAATTAAGTGGATTCGATCATTAACATTCTCTTTATTTATATAAACTACTAAAACAGCTTCTTTAATATTTTTTTATAAAATGTAGCAGCTCCATTGTACTCAACACAAATAGACGTAGCACCGGGCTTCGCAGCGCAAATTTAAATCGCTCTTGAAAATAGCGATTTTTATTTGTGTGATGGTTATCTGGTTAAGACATAAAATTTTTACTTACGAGCTTGATGTCTAGCCAAGGTATAGTTGGAATGGAAATCAGCCAAAGAGAATGTTTTGTCCAATACAATACTCCCATCAAAAGCATTCAGTAGGGTAACACTGGAACCGAATTTACCCACTTCAATGTTGTCCAATAGATAGGATATCGCCGGATATACAGCCTGGTATGGCCAAGTAGAATCTATCACTATGTATAGATTTGTTTTAAGTCTGAAGTTATCCGTAGTTGTAACTGTATTCACACAGTTTAAGTCGTTTAGGCTGTTAGCTGAAAATTGTAAATTAAACTTAAAGAGTCGATTAAAATGAAGCAGTATCTTGACACTTTATTTAAATCGACTGTTGTTGTTACAACAGACGTCAAGACCACAAATCTCCATGACGTTCCACCATGACGTCTGGCGTTCCACTACAGAGCAGTTTACGCTTCTTGTCTCGCCCTACCACTTTATGGAACCATCTGCCAGTAACCTTATAAGGAGCTTTCAAGAGAACAGGACTACCTTAAAGGCTGGCAATACACCTGCAAACGTCTTGGTGTTGCAGGTGTCCATGAGCGGCGGCAAACCATTAAAAAGCGAAGCTTTCGTTTATAACTCCAATTGATCTAGGTCGAGTATTTAATAATATACAAATAAATGTAGCCATCTCTTATAAGTGTAATTTTTTAAGATCTAGTTGAGAGAAATATAATTTATTGGGTTAAACTGAATCTTCCTTTGTTATATTACAATGAACGAAGGCCATACATTTAGTGTTTTAATAAAAGAAATAAGTTACTCGTATAGGACTGGAAGTTTTCCACTGCAGTTGAGACCAGTTGGTCAAGACCACTAACAATAGTTCCACGAAGAGGTATATTGGTGTCCAATGCCGCAGCGAATGCTGACGTTTCACCAATTAACTCATCTCTATTTATGAACTGCTGTCTTAACTCTCGGCGATTGCACGCCCTTCTGTTGGCATCGTAGACACCATTCTGAAATAGGAATTAAATTGAACACAATTTACACGCAAAAACCAGTTATTAAATTAAGCATGTAAAATGTTTGGGGGGAATATGATAATATAATGATAACACGAAAATAACACCTAAAACTTCAAATTACCATAATTATTTTTGAGGTTTTATTTTATTTATTAACACTTCGTTGCAGAAACATAATACAATTGATATAATTAAATGAAAAGGAGGGCAACTGGCGGCAAGTTTTAGTACTCGTAGTAACTATATAAGAGGTTCTTGTTTAGAATTGAAATTCAGTATTAATAATTGTATATGATAATAAACAAAAGTAATATTAGAAATAAGTAACAAAATTAGTAAAATTATAGTCATGCACAACAATTACTTGTCGCTGATCTGATTATACGATTTCAATGTGGGTTTTATAGATAGGAAACCATATTACGGTCCCGTACTCTATGACGTTACGCACTAAAGATTTTATTAATGTAATTACGCTATATTAATCTTTATTCTAGACGATATCACCTTACCCTTGGACTATAGTACATATCTAGCAGCTGTGATAGCTTTATAGAAGCAGCGTCGACAACGTTAGACTGTATAAGAGTTCCAAGCACGAAACCATCAATGTCGCCACGTAGTTCTGGGTCTGTTGCTTCTACATTGACACGATTGTGAAGCATAAAATATCTTGGTGCTTGAGTGGAATTCCAGTTACCAGCTGTGCCGACTGTTATTGCATTTGTGCCTCTTTCTGTTCCTTGGATAAGAACAGCTTCCGCTAAATCACCTTCAAGAAGACACATTAGTTAAAAATCGAAAAGTTAAAAATTGTACATGTATTAATTGTATTATTAATAATTGCTAAAACTTTTTAACGGAAACATCGATACTCTAGCTTTTAAATTTTGTATATGTAACAAAAACAAATTATAAGAGATCCTACAATGATTGTTTACTTTGCTGGAATTATACGAAACAAACCTGAAATTGTAGTGGCAAAGGTTGAAGAAACAGTGTCCTGAAGGTTAGCGTAGTTAGTCATAGACCCTCTTACTAAGTCTGATACCCTTATACGCTGGAACTGGGCACCTCCTGCTATACCAGCTAACAGATGACCGGCTGAAACTGCCCCCCATCTTGTGAATACTACCCCACCTAACAAAGGACATTGGCTGTCTCCTAACAACTGTCGTTCAGATTTTAACCCTCCCCCCGCACTTGAATACTCTACGTCTTCCTTAGGATTGTGTCTCATTTGACCGATAGTCTTCGTGAGTTTCCTGAAATAAACATATACATACCTATCATATATTATAACTTTAGCAAAAAAAATTTGATGTAAGCATAAGTGAAATTTCTAATGAAATTAAAATTTTCATTTTAGAAGAAACGTAAGAACTATTAATATTTCAAAATAAATTTAATGAGACATAACGTTTTAGCTACGCGCTGTGCGCCATGAAAAATTATCACAAAATTAGTTTTTACCTAAAATAAATATTGAACATTACGCTTACTTACATACTATCGAGATCTAAAATTTCTACATCATCCATCTTCAAGTTTCTTGGTATATTTCTGGCCGTCCTTAATGCGCGGAGTTGAGAAAGTTGATTACAATTTTGTTCATTTCCGCGGACTCTAGCATCCACGGTTGTAGAGAGCATGTAATGCAAGGCACACTAAAACATGAGAACTGTTAATTTAGAGACTACTACTACAATGAGACTTAGTTCTGCAGCTTACGCGGTTAAAAAAATTCGCTCACTAACTGATGTCGATACAGCTAGACTTGTTTATTTTAGTTACTTTCATAGCTTAATGACTTATGGCTTATTAGTTATTATTATGGGGTCATGCTGCTGACGTCGAAATTATTTTCATCCTGCAGAAGAGGGCTATTCGTGCAATCTATAATTTAAAATGTAGGGAATCTCTTAGAGATAAATTCAAGGAAATTAATATACTTACCTTTCCCTCGCAATAAATTTATGAAAATATTATGTATGTATATAAAAATAGTGATAAGTTTACTAGCATAGAACATACACACAATGTTAATACTCGGAACAAACGCAGGCTGCAATTTCCCCGGACTAGACTATCTAAAGTTAGTAATTCTTTCTTGGGAAAAGGGATAAGTACTCTTCTTTAATAAAATCCCAGAGGCTCTTTTATCTCTGCCTTTTAATAAATTAAGGAATGTATTAAAGAAAAGCTGTGTAAAAAGGCTTACTATAAAGTTAACGATTATCTAGTTGATAAAAGGGCCTGGGACTAGTGCTATACAGGCTACTTCTAATTAAATTGCGATATTTGTTTTAAAATAAGTGTTGTTTGATGGAACGGATGGATGGAGGATAAATGGATGACGTGGAATAAGTGATACCTGTATCTTATGTTCCATAATAAACATATTTTATTTTTTATTTTATTTTGCGACAACTCCAGTAACTGAAGTCCATTTTTTAGAATCACATTAAAAACTGATTTTATGCAAATACCTAATTCTAAAATAATTTGCCCGACTTGTCGTCCTGTAATGATTTTTCCTCCTTGAAGTTTTAACTCTTGTTTATGCCCAAAAACTAATATGTATATAAAATATATTATCGCTAATGCAATAATGTTTATATTGAGAGAATGTCGCAATTTCAGTTTCACTCATATAGATAAGTCAAATGTAATCGTTAGTCTGTTACCTTATTTTTTGTTTGAACAAATGTTTTATGGTCTTAGAGCCAATAACAGCTCATGTTTACTTATCGCTTACGGTGCCATATCAATTTGTAAATAAAAAGTATAATAATTAATAATACCTTCAAGGGAGGTGTGAGGACATTTGGCAATTCCTGTATATTGCCGGGAAGAATTTTCGATAAGACAATTCTGTGTCTATGAAATGAGTGAAATGTAGGCGCATATGGGAGCACATTTCCCGACCTTTCGGCATTAGCATCTGGCTGATGGTACTCTATACCGTCTTGTCTATATCTAAAAAGTCACAACAAAAATTAAGTCAATTTATGATACAAGGTTTTGCCCAGATCAGTGAGGTTTTTAAACTCATCTAGGATCTAGAACGTTATAGAATGAAGGTTTTATCAAGTTTTTCAAGAAGTTTTTTACGTTTAAAATTTTAAGAACTATATTAGTTTTTGTATAAGATAAATTGTGATACATAAATCGGACAAAATTGTGTTTGAAATAAAATGATGTCATTTAACATTTCATCTGTGTTTTCAAATAATTTCGGGTAAATTGAAACTAGACCAGATTAAGATTATTGTAAAGCGTGTACTTAAAAAAACTAGGTACATACGTGTATCTACAAATCATGATATTTCGAGTATGAACTTACGTGCGCAATATTTGAACAACTAATTGCCGCAGATCCATATTAACATTGGGATCATCTTCGATCTTTTGTATGATATCTATTAATACAGGCAGAGTTGTAGGTGGTATGTTATTTCTATCCAATAAGGTTACATTCATGTAACATTCTCGAAGCTCTGGGGCTACACTTGTTTGCGCTGTGAGCTGGGCGCTTGCGCCGCTTGCTAACAACGCAATTGTTAGTAACCAAAACATGCTGTTTCTGAAAATATGTATAGGAATATATAAATTGATTTTTATAATAATGTATTAGTAGTAAGAATATATTTGAAAAAAATGTGTACGGTCAATAATTTAGATTTCATTTATTTTATCATAATAGCGTCAAGTACTACAAGAAATCAACTGGGAAAAATCAACAATAAATTTTTGAATTAATAACATCTTCATATCTATTTGCAATAACGCAAAGACAATAAATATATAACGCAAGTAATATGATGTACCTAAAATATAATCTATAAAAATTCTCGTACTTACATAAAAATTTTTGGCAGGCGTGTAATCTGTAATACAATTAATCATCAAAATGATTGCACTATAGTAGGCAGTAGATTTTCAAACTAAATGTTTAATATAGCCCTTTGTAAAACTAAGTCCGTATAAAAAAAGTATGTCAAGTTTGCACTTCCACTATTATCAGGTTGATTCAAAATAGGACGCTTGATAAGCTATCAAAAATTAGTCAGCGAAATATACATTGCATATGTATGAATAAAAAAATATAGCACTTGTAAATTCTTTGTTTTCAAAGGGAGTGGTAAATTCATCGTAGATTGCGAACGAACGAATGCAACTGATGAATCTGTTAATTGGAAAAGGAATAAGAAAAATTCGCTTATAAAGAATAAGAAATTTCCCACAAGGTTTCATGATATATAAAATTGTATGAATTTATGTAAAATACAAATTTTTAAGAACACATCTTAAATCGTTGAAGGTCATACTTTTTACAAAATATCTGATATAGTCAACAAGATACATACCTGTTGTTTTCAGCAAACTCCTTATCTTATTAGGAACAATTTATAATCACAGCACTGTAACTAATATTTATAAATATCATATAATTAAAACAAAAGAAAATTCATGTATGACACTCGACACGTTACTGCTGGCACACCTAGCTTATTCAAACTCGTAAAATAAAGGGCAGTATTACGATAAGATAATAAAAGCAGGTCTAGATAAATTCGTAGCGGGCTCAAAATTATCTACCTATATCTGTTTTTCACAAGTGATTACGATGATAGCGATTATGTGGTTTAGATTTTTTCATTCTATATTATATTTGGTAAGAAATATTTAAGATTCCAGAGCTAAACATTAATTCAGTCAAGTGCATCAAAGATTTATAATAGGTACAGTAGAAAAAACTATAAATTTGTAGTAAAGGATTGGCAGACATAACAAAATAAGAGCATTTTTAAAAGACGCGACGATTTTTTTTTTAAAATTATAGCGTTTAAAAAGTCTAAAAGTTAAAAAAAATTTCAACAAAAAGTTTCGACGAGGATGGGATTCGAACCCACGCGTGCAGAGCACATTGGATTAGCAGTCCAACGCCTTAACCACTCGGCCACCTCGTCACATGGGATTGATGGTAAATTTAGGTTTTATAAACTTCATTAACTTATATCCTGTACAATATTTGTTATCCATCGACATGTAACGGACTATGTATTAAACAGACTTCATACATACAACAATTGATTATAATATTGTATATTACGACATTTCAATTTTAATAAACTTTTTTTCCTTAGAAGCGATTTAAATTTCTGTAATATTCAATTAGCATGTAATTAATCAAATAAGTGTTACATACATATATTATAGTTAATTACAATACATTATGGCAAATTTGCATCTTGTAGGACACGTAAAATATGAACAATAATGAAATATTGATTTTTTAATCATAACAATTGAAGAAAATTTCCAATAATTTCATTGTATTTGCTTTATATTCACAGAAATATAGAAAGAAATCATTATTTTAGAATAATTGATAGCATCTTTCGCATCAATACAATATTACGAAATATTATAAAAAGAGATCCAATATCCAATAAATATACTTTATTAGTATGTATAAACAAAAATCTTATTTAAATTTTAGGATTATACAATATTTGTAAGATAATTTTTTAATATATGTGTGGTAACGTCATCTAGTAGAAAATAAAAAGACTAACATGATACATGACAAATAGTAAAACACGTTGCTTTAATTTCGCTAGATGTCGCTTCATTCAATTTTTTATTTAATATTAATAAAGTGCGTTCTATTAATACTAATAATCTATCAGAAGATATTTGTAAATGCATTTAATTTATTAAAGTATCCAATAGCAAGAAGTCATTAACAGTCGACGGTCATTTTTATTGTAGTATCTTTAAACGAAAATAAATACAGGGAGAAATTATTTAAGTAATTATTTTATTACAAATTTAAAATCATAATTTATGTATTTTTCTTGCTACTATATTAATCTACCCCACACGTCTTAGAAAGTAGATCAATGACTTCATAAGTTCATAAATATTAAGTAGGTAGAAAAGGACAAAATTATAATATCAAAGAACAGCGAAGACGTAAAAATGCAAGGACTTAGTATCGTAAATCCCGGGATTGGCGAGCAAGACATCGGCAGGTCTTCATACTCGGAAAATTTTACAGGATTACCGTGTTACCAACCATCTCTTGTTTCCATTAATTCGTTTTAAAAATAATTTTATTTCAGGAACATTATTATTTAGTGTGAACTTATGAGTAGGGTATGAATTATATTTAAAAAAATAAAAATATATATTTTTTTTAAATTAAATCTGATTATAAAGACTGATGTAGGAACTGCTGTTATTATGTTCAAAGTACTTCAAGAAAGGTTAGGTTCTGAGTTTGACGGGTATGTATTTGATAATATTGGAATTAGATAATTTGTAATAATATGCTCATCAATTTAGTGTGTTTGTCCAAAATTTCTCTGAAACAAGCTATATCAATGATGATTTTGATTTAAATAAGGTTTATTCCAACTTATCGAAGTCTTGTCAAAATCGGTTCAGTAGCTAAGGTATTTGTATTCTGTTTATTTTTTTAAATAACTTTTATTCAGGCGTCTGGCGTCTTACGGCTTGCCTTACAGCTGACCTTTGACAGATGTAATGAATAACATCCGTCGAACTTAGATTATAACGGGAAATCTCATTATTCTATAATTAACATACCTAAAGTCAAAGTCAGAAAAAAAAATTAATTTAATTTTATTGTTACCTATCTTTCGTAGCTGTATGTACGTATGCGCATTATTCAAATTGGGAAGATCACAATAGAAGCCAACTGTTGCTATATTTTTTTAATAAAGAAAATTGCCTTCTGGCTTTGAGTGGATTCTTGTGTGGAGTTTAAAATGAAGCGCAGATATGAAGCCACTTATGTTGTTCAATATGAATGCAGGAAAACGGTCCGACTTGTGGAAAGTGGGCAGGCTCTTAAGGCAATTGAATAAAGAAGTCTCGATGCAAAGTGTTAACTACAATAGAAATCTATTATTATACATTTTCTGACAATGCGGACGGGTGTTTAATTTTCTATGCACAAAAAGAGTTCATTACAAATAGCTCTGGACTAGGCTATATTTTACAACATAGTAACAAGTTGAATTCATCGCAATAGAGAATTATTATCCTTAAATCGTTGCCTCAATCCTAATTATAGATGATATACTAAATTGGAAACCGCACATCAACACAGTTTGTGACAAACTAAAACCACAAAAAAAATATTTTTTAAATATACGACACCATTATCACAATTTTACTACTGTATAAAGCACTTGCGGAGTCTATTTTATCTTACTGTTTATGCAGCTATGGAGGAACCTGTAAAACCAATCTTGAACGTATATTCGCCATACAACTGAGAATTGTCAAAGAAATAGTTGCAGTTAACCTAAGATATCAATGCAAAGAGTGTCGCAAGTTATTTGCACTAGATTATTAAACCAAACACGTAAAATAAAGTAACTTCTAAACGTATTCGGGTTTACTCCTTACTAGAATCATTAAATGAACAACTGATTAGCAAAAATATCAAATATAATCTTAAAAACTAATAACTATAGAAAAGTATTCATATTTTTTTTATTTGTTTCTTATTTATTTACCTACTTGTACAAACACACAGTAATTTTTTAAAGACATTCAAACTTGGCACGGACATCAACAACAGGTTCCGTTACTCACACATTGCCCCAAACAGTTTAAGATTGTAAATTGTAAAATAATTATCAAGCCTCGTTTAAATTTTTGTAATGAATTGTAGTAGTTAATTTTGTTTAAATTGAGTCAGTTTAGGCGACTGACTCAATTTAGGCGATCTATTTCAGCCAACCATATATTTCGTTGTAAAATAATATACTAACTTGCTAACATTGCTTTCTCCTTCAGAATATGATTTTTAAAGTAAATCTACCAGCTAATAAACTTAAATTGAAAATCTAGGTTATTCGCAAGATTTATTTTAATTACTATCATATTAAATTCTGTTCAGTGGCTTGTGTCTTAAACAGTCAGTGACATGGAATTTAGAACCTCCTGTATCGGATGAATTATTTAGATACGAGGTAGTTGTCAGTGAAATGTAGTCACACATGCTGATAAATTATTGACAACATCAATTTCCTTTATTGATCCACGCGAAACTTGCAATTTCGAAGATTTGTCCGCGTAGACAATTACTTGTTTACTTAATTTAAATTATATATACAAACAATGTTGTTTTTATCAGTTTTAAGTGCCATGGTCTAATGCTATTTTTATTAGCAAATGCCGCCAATCACTAAAGGATAATTGGATCTTCTTAACGATTTCAACAATCCCGTTACTCCTAAGCCTTAGACTTTAGAGGCAAGGCAAATGCCTTTGTTTCAATTATTGGGCAATGGCAGTCTGCCGTGAAAATATACAGATAACAGATCTAATCACGTTAATGGTAACACCTAAGTGCAACAAAGGACAGAATAATTACATAATAGTTATTACATAATATGTTATTATTCCTATTTTTGTATAGCTTTTAATTTTGTACAGATCCGTCTTTAGGAGCGGAGCTTAGTTTTTCTTTATGTTAATGTACCCTGTTAGTCTAGAAATGTAGTTCGCATTGAAAATTCACACGTAATTAATTG